TTCCCCCTCTGCAGGAGGAGAACTCCCTCTTCATCATGACCAACATGATCACCACCGTCAACCAGACCCAGGGCCTCTGTCCTGAGGTAGGCAGCTTCTCAGGAAAGAGCCTCAGGCCCCTCTCCCCCACCTGACTGACCACATGGAATTTGTTTTCACTCTTTCTTCTTTTTCCAGCTTCCAGATAAGACCACTGTGTGTAAATCTGATGCCAACTGTGCTGCTGGCTCTTCAGGCACCCACAGCAACGGTATGAGCACGTGGCTGTGACCCCACAGTAGACATTTAGCGTGGGGAGGGCAGCCCCTGACCAGACTGCCTCCCCTGTGGGGCTTCTCTCCCAGAGAGCTGTTCGGGACGAAGAAATCCCCTACATTCCCCAGTCCTTCATATGACCTTGGGTGAGCCTGGTGTACCGATTAGGCTCTTAGGATCTTCTCGACATTCACCTGTTACCCATACTCCAGAGGCCACCCCAGATCTTGTCCTGTGCCATCACCCTAGCCTTGCTGCTGGACTCAGGCAACTGTTTTCCTCTAATTTGTGGAAACTGTATAAAGCCTGTAACTGGAACAGCTCAAGATCAATTGCACAGGATGTTATGGCGGTGCTTCCCCTTCTCTCCCTTGCAAAAGTAGAAAATAGGTGCCCCTTGCCCCTGCAGGAATTGCAACAGGAAGATGCGTGCTGTTCAATGAGACCGTGAAGACGTGCGAGGTGGCAGCGTGGTGTCCAGTGGAAGATGACACACATGTGCCTGAGTGAGTCCTGCCCAAGGGAAGGCGGCAGGGGAGTTAAGCCTGTGTGTTGTGCTCTTGGTGTCTTTGTGGAATCAGGCTTCCCCAGGGCCGGGACCAATGGCAAGGTGGGCCACAGCATTTGTCACTTGCGAGAAGAGTGCAGATGATTTATTTCTATGTTTGGACTTTGTCAGTTGCAAGTAACAGGAAACAGTTCTCGGTGCCTCAAGCAGGACACACACATGGCAGGGGCAGTTTACTGTCCAGCTAACTATGAAGAGCCCAGCACAACTAGACCTGGGACTCAAAGGACAGCTTCAGAGTTTCCACCTTTTGACTCTGCTTCCCCCATATTGGCTTCATTTGCAGGACTGTGGTGTAGTCCTAGGAGGCGTCTCTGGGCTTATATTCTCCCAAGTCTCCCAGCCCGGTTGTCCATAAAGATTCTAGACCTGTCCATCTAGACAGGTCCATCTAGACCTGTCCATCACATCTTCAGCCACATCCCTCCACCCATCACTGTAGCTGAGGCATGGATTTTGCTTATCAGCTCAGGCCTGGGTCACCTGCCCACCTCTGGAGCTAGGGCGCAGTCATTCCCACCCAAATCACATAGCCTGAGAGTAGAGAGGTGTGGCTTCCAAAGGAAATTGGGGGATCATTACCAGAAAAGAAGGGAACAGATGCTGGGCAGGAAAATAATTAGTGTCCACTGTAGTGTGTTTTATAAAGGAGAGCAGGCTCAGGGCTGCCCTAGAATAACATTCTTCCCAATAGTAATTTGCTCACTTTGATTGGGTGGGTCAGAGGTAACGCTCTCAGAATTGCTTGCAACTCCAGCCTTCCTGACCCAGAGTTCAGACGGAGGCCTGGATAAGCCTGGCAGGGAGCCAGCCACGTTAACCTCATCTGGGGTACACTGCAACGGAAGAAACGGCTGAGAGGTGCCGATTGCAAGATTGCCGAGGGCAGCAGCTCAGGCTAGGGAAGGAAATACTAAAAGAAAATGAATCCTAGCATTTTTGAGCTGCAAAGGGTCTTATGGAGCTGTGCTCCCTAACACCGTGCTACTGGCCATAGGTAGCTGTCGAGCACTCAAAAGGTGTCTGGAACCAAACAAAATGCTCAGTGTAAAATGTACTCCAGAGCCTGAAGACGTTATGGGAAACAAATTATATGTGTATGTATTATATATATGATACTATATACATATATATATATGATACTTTGTGTTTACCTGGTGAAATAATACTTCAGATATATTGGGTTATTATAGAAAAGTTAGTTGCACTTGTTATTTTTACTTTTCAATGTGACTACTAGACACTTGAAATTGCAAGGTGGCTTGTATTTGTGTCTCAGTATATTTTCATTGGACAGCACTGTCATGTATCTAATCGAGTGGAAGATGATTTTTAAGTATACACTGATAACATGAAATAACATGAGTCACATGAAGAGAAGGACATTCCCATTCTTATTCAGCTTCTAAGCTTATATCAAGGAGGAAATCCTGGTTTGGGTTCTTTTAGAACTTGCTGATTTCCATTTCTCATAAATTACAATCCCCAGATTCAGCACCTTGGGCAAACAGTAATATTAAGTAGAACTTTTTTGTTTGTTTGTTTGTTTTTGAGAGAGAGAGAGATAGTGTAAGCAGGGGAGAGGGGCGGTGGGGGGGGGAGGGGCAGAGAGAGAGAGAATGAGAATGAACAAATGAACTCCAAGCAGGCTTCACTCTAGGCACGGAGCCTGACATAGGGCTCTATCTCATGACCTGAGCCGAAATCAAAAGTTGGACGCTTAACCGACTGAGCCCCCCCAGGTGCCCCTTAACTACAACTTTTAGTAATACTGTTTTGATATGATTATATTTATTTGAACAATGACCTCTGACTTGGGGCAAATGATATTTCTTATGGTCATGATGGAAAGTTTCATTTCAAAATGAATGTCAGTAAAAAACAGTCAGTTGATCCTAAAGGCAGGAACAACACAAATGTCCATCAGAGAAAGAGATAAACAGATTACAGTCCATCCATGCAAAGGAATAGGACACAGCCATAAAAAGAGAATGAAACGTTAGATGCTACAATGTGGATGAACCTAGAAAACATGGTGCTAAGTGAAAGAAGCCAGACATAAAAGGCCACATATTGTATGAATCTGTTTATATAAAATGTCCAGAGTAGACAAATTTGGAGAGACAAAAAGTAGATTAGTGGTTCCCAAAGGCAGGGGGTAGGGTAGGGCGTGGGGGTGGGGGGAATAGATACTAGTGCTTAATGGGTACAAAGTTTCTCTTTGGGGTGATGAAAATGTTCTAGAACTAGATGTGTGATAGTTGCACAACATCACGAATGTATTTAATGCCACTGAATTAACACTTTTTTTTTTTTAATTTTTTTTTTCAACGTTTATTTATTTTTTGGGACAGAGAGAGACAGAGCATGAATGGGGAGGGGCAGAGAGAGAGGGAGACACAGAATCGGAAACAGGCTCCAGGCTCCAAGCCATCAGCCCAGAGCCCGACACGGGGCTCGAACTCCCGGACCGCGAGATCGTGACCTGGCTGAAGTCGGACGCTTAACCGACTGCGCCACCCAGGCGCCCCTGAATTAACACTTTAAAATGGTTAATTTTATATTGTGTGGATTACACCTGCATTTTTTTTTTTTTTTTAACTGTGAGTTAGGGGCACCTGGATGGCTCAGTCAGTTGGGCAACTGATTCTTGATTTTAGCTTGGGTCATGACCCCAGAATCCTGGGATCGTGCCCTGCATCGGGCTCTGCACTAGGCATGGATCTTGCTTGGGATTCTCATTCATTCTCTTTCTCTTTCTCTCTTTCTCTCTTTCTCTCTCTCTCCCTTCCCTCTGCTCCTCTCCCCCACTTGTGTGCTCTCTCTCTCTAAAATAAAATTAATTCATTAAATTTTTTAAAACATTAAAAAAATAATAAAACAGTTAATCTTAAAAGTTTTACATATGAGTTAGACAGATGTGGGGGAAAGCTATGGTATAGAGAATGGCAATAGTTTGAAAAACCCTAATATAATCCATCCCTCTTGATACAGGGATGTGGGAACTTGAAGCCCTGAGAGAAGTACCTTGGTCAAGGCCTTTCTTGGCATCAGTGGTGACAGGTTCAGCTGTCTTTGCTGTGTGGACTTGCTTCTGTCTCAGGGTTAAGAAGACTATGGATACTGTTTATAAACTCAAATATTCCACCTGGATCAGGGAAGCCTCCCCTGCCCCCTCCCCCCCTGCCCTTCCCCACAAAGGGGTCTGCCCCCAGCACTGGATTCTCCTGTAGAGACGCACCAAAGAAGCGGGGTCCCCTTGGAGACAGATTTACCGTGTACCTGTCAGCCAGGAGCTGATGTGGCACTTCCAAGAAGAGAGTGCCAGCAGACACGTGATTTTTGTGTACTTTTGCGATGAGATCAGGATCCACCCTGTTGGTGAATTCACCTTTGCTTGGACTTGTAAAACCAGATCTGTTGAGCATTCCCCTGAGGGCACCTGAGTGAGATGCGCTCACTCTGAAACCCTGAAACCCCGAAACCGGCTGCAGGCTGAATAATTTCAAGGGAAGCTACCAGGCATCCTTTCTCCTTAGCTATTCCTCAAACTCTTAAATGCCCACTGCCTTCGGCAAGAGGCATGACAGGAAGAAAAGGAAAGGTTTAGTTTACCCTCCTCTGTTAACCTAGTGTTTATGCAGAGGACGGTAGAAAATGCTTGAGAGGTGATCATGTTTTTTCTTGACAAAATGACATTGTAGGACACGTGTCTGTGCTTTTTAAAAATATTACATAAGGAGGAGAGAATACATCTACTTGTACTTTTTTTTTTTAAATATTTATTTATTTTTGAGACAGAGAGAGACAGAGCATGAATGGGGGAGGGGCAGAGAGAGAGGGAGACTCAGAATCGGAAACAGGCTCCAGGCTCCGAGCCATCAGCCCTGAGCCCGACGCGGGGCTCGAACTCATGAACCGCGAGATCATGACCTGAGCTGAAGTCGGACGCTCAACCAACTGAGCCACCCAGGCGCCCCTACTTGTACTTTTATTAACAATATGTTACGTTATCTTTTTCAGACCTGCTTTTTTAAAGGCTGCAGAAAACTTCACTCTTTTGGTTAAGAACAACATCTGGTATCCCAAATTTAATTTCAGCAAGTAAGTGGTGGCCAGCTGTGTGAGTTCACCAGTGTCTTAGAGCAACTTCTGGCTCCTCTTTGAGGTTTCCCTCACTTCATTTCTGCTTCCTCCTGACTTTAGGAGGAATATTCTTCCCAACGTCACCACTACCTACCTCAAATCGTGCATTTATGATGCCATAACAGATCCCTTCTGCCCCATATTCCGTCTTGGCAAAATAGTGGAGAATGCAGGGCACAGCTTCCAGGACATGGCCATTGAGGTAGGCAGAAGCCCCTGGCTTTTCCGACACAGCCTTTAACGCATCTTGTTCTAGAATGGGCCCCGAGGAAAGCTTGCTGTCTCTGCTCACAACCTGCAGGGAGGTATCATGGGTATCCAGATCAACTGGGATTGCAACCTGGACAGAACCGCCTCCCTCTGCTTGCCCAGGTACTCCTTCCGCCGCCTGGACACCCGGGATGTGGACCACAATGTGTCCCCCGGCTACAATTTCAGGTAGGTGTGAGCTTGGGGCCTGGTTCTCTTGTGCTGGCGGGTGGGGGGCGACAGTGCCTGGATCACTCCCCAGTGGGGGCGTCCGTGCCCACCAAAGACCAGCACTCGGGCAGCCTCTGAGGGCAGGTGGAGAGGTATGTACCAGAGTGTTCCTAGTAGATCTTGTGCCCACAGTATCCTGGCCCGTGAGAGCTTCCTGTGCCCCTTCTTACTTCAGAAATCATGTTGAGGGGCGCCTGGGTGGCTCAGTCGGTTAAGAGTCCGACTTCAGCTCAAGTCATGATTTTGCAGTCTGTTGAGATCAAGCCCTCCGTCACGCTCTGTGCTGACAGCTCGGAGCCTGGAGCCCGATTTAGATTCTGTGTCTCCCTCTCTCTCTGCCCCTCCCCTGCTCAAACTCTGTCTCTGTCTCAAAAATAAACATAAGGGGCGCCTGGGTGGCGCAGTCGGTTAAGCGTCCGACTTCAGCCAGGTCACGATCTCGCGGTCCGGGAGTTCGAGCCCCGCGTCAGGCTCTGGGCTGATGGCTCAGAGCCTGGAGCCTGCTTCCGATTCTGTGACTCCCTCTCTCTCTGCCCCTTCCCCGTTCATGCTCTGTCTCTCTCTGTCCCAAAAATAAATAAAAAACGTTGAAAAAAAATTAAAAAAAATAAATAAACATAAAAAAAAAATCATGTTGATACAATTTTCAGAGTAGCCCAGAGAGGCTGGCTGCTTGAGCTACCTTGGGCCAGCCTCCTAGGACCCCTGCTCACTGATTTTGAGGAGTGGGTGAGCTTGTGATCCTCCAGTCTGAAGACCTCTGGGGCCTGACCCAGGAATTAGTTTCTCAAAGACCCAAGTCTGCCTTTGGAATGCCCAGGGTGCAGGAGATACAGGCTTAAGCCTCAGGAAAGGCCTTTGCTGATACTTCCCTACCGAAAGTACCAAGTATTCATGTCCTGGGACTGCCACAACAAATTACCACAAGGTGGGTGGCTTGAAACAACAGGAAGTTATTCTCTCATGGATATGGAGGCCAAAGTTCCCAAATCAAGATGTCAGCAACGCCAGCTACCTTTTTTTGCCTTTTCCAGGTTCTGGGTGCTCCCCAGTGTTCCTTGGCTCATAGACTCATCACTCCCACCTCTGCCGCTGTTGTCACAAAGCCTTCCCTCTGTGCGCATCCCCGTGTGTCCTCTCTTCTTACAAGGTCACCAGTCATATTGAATCAAAGTCCACCCTAATCCAGTCTGACCTCATCTCAACTAATTCCAGCTGCAAAGACCCTATTTTCCTATTTCCTTTTCCCATTCACATGTTCCAGGTGGATTCGAATCTTGGGTGACAGTGTTCAGCCCGGTGCAGCTGGTAATCTGATGGGAGGACCAGGGGGCCAGGGTCACGTTTCCTGAGGCAACCAGACCCGTAGCCACGTACATTGTTGTGTGCCCTTTGTGGCATCTCTCACGCATTTTGCCACTCAAAAAAAGCATCCCCACAAGGGGCCACCTGAGTAGGTCTGAGGTGCTTTTGTGTTGCACTTGTCTCCCTCTAGTGGTGACGTGTGCAAGCCAATACGGGATCACAGAAACCTCCAGAATTACAGTCAGCTATCATTTTGAACCACCTGACTCACTGATACTAGGGCAGATATTTGGATTTTTTTTCCCTAGTAAAGGAATTAGATTTGTGTTGCTGTCTCTACTGTTACACAGTTTAGAAACCATTGTGGAAAAACCTCAAGCTTGGGTCAGAACCTCAGAACAGAGAGAAGCCGATGGGAACCGTCACCAGAAAGACACCCATCCCCTGACCTCCACTAGCACCAGGCCCCACCTGAATTCCCCAAGCCTGACCATGACATAGAGGTTGTGGGCCAGACTAATCATGGGCCAAGAGTTTAGGCTTCTCTGAATCAACGTGCTATATGTGTAACACGGGCAGCAAATGGCATCATGGCTCAACAGACCCCCCACTACCACCATTCCCCCATGTGTATGTTTTTTTTTTTAATGGCTTTATTGAGATATAGTTTACACAACACTCTTCATCCATGTAAAGTGTGGGATTCCATCATTTTTAGTTCATTCACAGAGTTGTAGCACTCTCGGCGTAATTTTGGAACATTTTCATCCCCTCAGTGCGAAACCCCTTCAGCCATCACCTGTATCTTCCCATCTACCTCAGTCCCTGTCAACCACCATCTGCTTCCTTTCTCTCTGGATTTGCATAAATGGAATCACACACTATATGGATTTCTGTGACTGGCTTTTTTCACTCAGCATCATGTTTTTTTCCAAGGTTCATCCATATTGTACATTTATCATTACTTTATCTCTCTTTATGGCCAAAGAATATTCCATTATGTGGATATACCACATTTTATTTACTCATTTATCCATCGATGGGTCAGTAGTTCTTTAAAAAAAAAAATGTCCAGCACTGATTCTGTGAGCTTTGTGGAGTTTCATGGCCAGCTCCATGCCCATACCCACAAGGCAGTCCTAGGGCTAGCTGCTGGCTGGCCACATGCTGTTGGTGACCAGGATCTCCTTGAGAGAGGCAGGTGGTTCTGCTGTGTCAAGGAGGAGGTTCAGAGCATGAGGTTCCAGCTCCACCGTAGGAGGGGACAGTGATGATAGAGTAGTTCTGGTGCCCCAAGGGCCCTGGCATCCTCCTGCCAACAGCCCAGCCCACATCCTG